GGGCGCCCGGGGGCAGCCCCTGCGCCAGCAGCACGGTGCCGTAGCCGCAGTAGGTGCCCAGCTCCAGCACCCGCAGCGGTGCCCGCTCCAGCAGCAGCCGCTCCACGATCCGCCCTGGCACAGCACGTGTCTGTCAGCGCCCGTACCCACAACCGCGGCCGTGCCAGCGGGGCCGTGACCGCACCAGCACCGTCACGGCCGTAGCAATGGTGCCGTGGCTGTGCCAGCGGTGCTGTGGCCGTACCCGGTGGGCGAGGGCGGCACTCACCTTTGGCAGGCCCCACACAGCTGAGGTGCTCGCAGTGGTAGCACCACTGGTCGAAGGTCTGCAGGATGTGGTGGGGGTCCCCCGGGATGGCGTGGGCCAGCAGGTACTGGAAGGCGCGCTGTTCCCGCGTGATGCCGGTGAGCCGGTCCCGCAGCCAGGCCACCAGCACGGCCCGGTACAGCAGCACCAGGTAGTGCCGGTACCGGATCAGCAGGGTGACGAGGAAGGGGAGGAAGGCCAGTGCAATCGCGGGAGACACCATCACAGGGGAGCGAGGCTAGGGAAAGAGCCCCCGCCCGGGGGATGTGGGAGTGGGGGCCCTCCCAGGGTGCCAGCCCCACAGCTCCCACTCGTGCCACGAGTTGGCTGCGCTCTGCACACCCTGCAAATGTCTCTCCCTGGGCTCTGGTGCTGCTGGGCCTGCAGGGCTGAGGCACCCTGGGATGCTCTGGGGGTCCCTGTGCCAGGCCTGAGGGGTGCTGGGGTCCCAGTATTGGAGTCTGCAGGACTGGTGTTGTGGGTGGGGTTGGGCTGCTCTTAAGGAGCACTGTCCAGCACAGCCCCTCGTACCCCTCCTTGGCCCAGCTTTGCTGCCCTCACCCCCCATATCCTGCCCCCCACAGCCCGCTCCCCACACCCTGAGCTGTTGGGGGTCCCCAGACACAGCAAGAGGACAGGGCCATGGGGGTGGCACCTACCTGTCCCCACACTCCAGATAGGCAGAGGCAGGCACTCCTGCGTGGGGCCCTGCTGCCACTCAATTATTGATGGTGTCACCTTAGCTGCAGCCACCACTGGCTCGGGTTACCAGCTCATTGGGGCCAGGGCTGGGGCGGGGCTGCGGGGCTGCAGGAGCAAGCCTGGGCCTGGGATGCTGATACAGTGTCAGCTGAGGTCCTGACACTCTTCTCTGGGGTGCCAATACTGGGGTTGGGGTCCCCGAACTGGGGGCTGGGGCCCCAGTACTGGCATGCCGATACTGGCAGCTGTAGTACTGATACAGGAGCTGGAGTCCTGTCACTGGGGCTGGGGCCTGATACTGAAGCTGGGGGGCCCCAGCACTGGGGTTGGGATCCTGATACTGGAGCTGGGGTTCCGAGACTGGGGCTGGGAGCCCTGGGAGCAGCAGAATCAGTGGAAGCACTGTGGCATGGGGAACATGGGTGTACTAGGAGCATGGGAACAGTGGGAGCATGGGGGCACTGGGTACACTAGGAACAGTGGCAACGGGGGCACTGAAAACACTGGGAACATAGGGGCATAGGGAACAGTGGGAGCACTGAGGACACTGGGAACACTGGGAACATAGGGGCATAGGGAACAGTGGGAGCACTGAGGACACTGGGAACACCGGGATCCGCGGGAGCACTGGGGCACGGGGAACGTGGGGGCACTAGGAGCATGGGTACACTGGGAGCACTAACAACAGCGGCAACACGGGGGCACTGACAGCACCGGGAACACAGGGAACGCTGGGAGCACCGGGAGCACTGGAAGCGACTGGGGAGGGGGGGGCCCTTGGACGCCCGCACGTGACCGCGCGCGCAGGGCCGCGTGACGCAGCGCACGCGCGAGCACCGCCCCCTCCACGTGACGCGAGAGCGCGCTCCCGGCGGCGCGCGCGGCCCGTGTTTCCCCCCCCCCCCCACGGTCACGTGGGCGGGTGACTCGGCGGTCACGTGGGCGGCGGGGCCGGGCCGGGGCTGCCGCGCTCGCCATGGGCTGCTGCTACAGCAGCGAGGCCGAGGCCTCCGACCAGGTGGGGACAAGGGCCCGGGAGGGGGGCGGCGCCGCCGGGGAGCCTCGGCCCGGCACCCCCGGGGCTGCCCGAGCGGGGGGGACCGGCGCGTGTGCCCTCGGCGGGGCCCGGCCCTTCCCCGCTCCCCGGAGCACCCTCCGAGCGCCCTCCCGCTTTCGCCGCCTCCGTGTCACTCGTGCCTCGCGTGTGTCGCGCCGCCCGGGGTGCCCTGCTGCTCCGGGGTCGTGCCGGAGCATCCCCCCGTCCCGTTCCCCCGTCCCGCTGCCGGTGCGAGTCCGGGGCCTCGAGCGGCGCCGGCGGGAGCAGCGCCAGCTTTTCCCGGCTGGGCCGGTGCAGAACTGGGGCTGTCACCTGTCCCGCGAAACTTAATCCCCGGGCGGGATTCGGGCTCTGCCCGTGCCTTGTCAGGGAGCTCGGCCCCGTCCCCGGGGCAGCCCGGCCGGCGGCTGGGCCATGGTGCTCCCGCGGGGAGGGAAGGAGAGGGGCCTGGAGAGTATGGCAGCGGCAGGGCCCAGCTGGAGGAAGGGGAGAGGGAGCTGCTGTCCAGGCAGGAGCTGGAGATGTCACTCACTGGAGGAGTGGTTGCATTCCCAGCTCACCCTGGGTCACAGGCTGAGCATCCTCTCGGGACAAGACAGACACTGAGGGGCCAGAGCATGTCCAGAGGAGGACAGCAGAACTGGAGAGGGGTCTGGAGCACAAGTCTGATGAGCAGCAGCTGAGGGGGCTCAGCCTGGAGAAAAGGAGGCTCAGGAGGGGCCTTCTTGCTCTCTGAAACTTCCTGACAGGAGGGTGGAGCCAGGTCGGGCTCGGGCTCTGCTCTCAGGGAACAAGGGACAGGAAAAGAGGAAACGGCCTCAAGTTATGCCAGGGGAGGTTTAGGTTCGATATTAGGGAAAATATCCCGGAAAGAGGGGTCCAGCCCTGGCACAGCTGCCCAGGGCAGGGGTGGAGTCCCCATCCCTGGAGGGATTTAACAGACGTGTGGATGTGGCACTTGGGACATGGGTTAGTGGTGGCCTTGGCAGTGCTGGGGGAGCTGTTGGACTCAATGATCTCAGAGGGCTTTTCTGATTTTAATGATTCTGTGATCCTGCTCTCCTGGGTGTTTGTGTCCATGGTCTCTCTGCTGGGCTCTTCTCCCAGCCCCTGCAGCACTGCTCGGCCAAGCCAGAGGATTTAGGCCTGAGCCACAGCTCTGCACCCCTGGATTGAGTGGTGGGATGTGCCCTGTTACTCTGGGAACCCCCCACCCCCTGCTGTCCCTGGGCTGTGGTAGGTGGGGTTCACCTGGCCCTGACGAGCCCCCGGCTGTGCCGGTGTGGAGACCAAAGGCTGGTGGGATTTCTGTGGTCGGGGGTGAGGCCACTGTAGGTCCTCGATAGCTGCCAGGTTTCGGGCAGGGCGGTGCTGGCAGTGGGCTCCTGCCTGCAGGATTGGCCCCTCCAGATGTGCTGCCTGATTTCAGCCGCGCTTGGTCCCTTCGTGGCCATGGGGGCTTTAGCTGGAAAAAAGCCAAGGAATTGGGGAAGAGGAGCCTCGCCATTGCCTCAGCAGAGCCGAGGCTGTGCCGGGTTACACTGGGGTGCACGGGAAGCCCTCCTGGCAGGTGGAGGGTGAGATGAACCTCAGCCCTTGGGGTGAATGGTGCCGGTGTGGGGGAGCCGGGGCTGATTCTCCTCTTGCCTTGTTCTCAGGAAGAAGAGACGAAGCGGCTGCTGGAGCCGACAGCCAGCCCTCCCAGCAAGGTGCTGAATGGAGCGGAGCAGAGTTACCACAACCTGCCCTCGGCACGCACCGACGAGCAGGCCATGTTGTCCTCCATCCTCGCCAAAACGGCCATGTAAGCCCCAGGCCGTGACCGCCTCAGTGCCAGCGCCGCGGGGCGGGCAGCACAGCCTGGGGACCGGGCAGCACAGCCTGGGGACCGCCGGCACAGCCTGGGGACTGCACTGACCCTGCCATGGGCAGCACAGCCTGGGGACCAGGCAGCACACCCTGGGGACCACACTGGCCCTGCCATGGGCAGCACACCCTGGGGACCAGGCAGAACGCCCTGGGGACCGGGCAGAACGCCCTGGGGACCGGGCAGAACGCCCTGGGGACCGGGCAGAACGCCCTGGGGACCGGG